ACGGCTGCTCCCACGGTGTCGTCGCGGCTCATCTTCATCCCGCTGTGCACGCGGGCGGATTCTCCTCCGGTCTGACCTGCGCTGGCTGGACAGGCCGCTGCTCTCAGGCCCGGGGGAAAAGTTATCTGGCCCTGATGGTGCCTGGCTGGTGGTGTGGCAGCCAGGAAGGCCTGAGTTGGTGCTGGAGGCTGTAAGGAAAGGCAGGAAAGTGAGCAGGATGGAATTGCAGCCACGGGGTGAACTGACTCCCATTGGTGCTGGGCTAGAGGGATTTGAGCCAGGCGGCCCTCAGCAGCCGCTGCCAGGCCTCGCCTGGCCCCAGCCCAGCTGCACGCGGCCGTTTGCCTCTTACCGGTGTCCTCTCCAGCACAGGCGCTGCACTCCCAGCTGGTTGTGCTGTGACTCAAGTTGGAGCAGCACCGGTGAGTGCCTTGTGCGGCACAGGAGCTGCAGAGGAGCAGCTGCCAGGGCCTGGGGAAACAAACGGGTTGTGGCCGTGAGGACAAAGTGAGCTGAGCCAGGGAGCGCCCGGCACAGCTCTGGTGCCCAGTCTGTGCTCTCCCAGCCTGTGGTGAGGCTGTGATCCCACGCCGAGCCCCAGAGGGCTGCTGAGGTAACTCACCCCTCTTCCTCTGCCTGCTCCCTGCCATGTGGGCAAAGGCAGATGCTGGCATCGCAGCTCCCGTGCCTCTCCAGTAGTGATGCGTAGGCATCGTTGTCTTCCCATGTTGGTCTTCTGCCAAGGAAAGGAGGGAATGGAATGAGCACTGACTGCCCCAGGACTAAAACTAATCCATGGCATCCCTCCCCTTCCTCCTGACGTTCCAGCTTCCAGCTGGAGTTCCTCCTTGAAGTTCCAGCTTCCCAGTGATGCTGAGGCCCATGTGAATGGCTGCAAAGGGCCAGGCCAGCTGGGGCAGTCCCTTGCCAAGGACAGCTCGTGTGCCCTCACATCTCAAGAGCCGGCTGAAAGACACCAACCTGAATGGGATTCGGATCCCCATAAGGCGCATGTCCATAATAAACGTGTATCTGTCTCTGCAGACGGGGCATTGGAAGCAACGAAACCCGGCGCTCATGGCCTGTTCCTGCAGCAGAAACAGAACAGGGTGAGTGTGAGCCAGGCCTGGTGCTGCTGAGCACCTGCCGTGCTCTTGGGGTGAGGAGAGGGCTCCTACCTGGATGCAAGCCCGGTGGAACCAGGCGTTTTGGCAGGCTGGGCACACCATGGTGCTGTAGGACACGCTGTCCCCCACGGGGTCCATGCAGATGATGCAGGTTGTGTCCTGCGCCGGCGCTGCCTCCACTGCCTGCTGTGGGCAATGCTCCATGCAGAGGGACCTGGGGGAAGATGGGAGGGACGGGCAAGGTGAGAAGTGCTGCGAGGAAGGCAGAGGAACAGGAAGGAGCCCCAGGCCTTGGCTCTGGCTCTGCCAGGCTGCTGGGAGGCGTCACGGCGCGCTCCTCGCTTCTTTGGCTGGTGCTGAAGCAGAGGTTGGAGGCTCGCAGGCGATGCCTGGCAGCCCTTACCTGAACTCTCCAAAGTACTGGGTGACGCATTCACCCTTGGAAGCGCAGGGGAGATGGAAGCTGCGGTTGCAGCCTGGCTCTGCACAGGTGATGCTGGCCCCGCGCTTGCCACAAACAAAGCAGAGCTGTAAAGAGCAGAGCATTTCCCATCAGCTGCAGGCTCAGGGCCTACGCAGCGGGCCCCGCACCTCTGTGCAGGGCACGGGATGGAGGCAGGGCTGGGTGGCACTCTGCAGAGCTGCCTGCTGAACAGGGCTCATCTGCAAGAGCAGGGATTTCTCTTGGGGCTGGCTGGAAGGGCTGGGATTGCTTTCCCTGGACCAGGCTAAGCTCTCCACGCCTCTCCGGGCGCCAAGCTCCCTGTTCCAGTCCAGTGCTCACCGTCTGTTCTGCCTCCCTCAATTTGAGTATCAGGTCTTTAATCCAAAAATATAGGCCAGTGTGGTCTCCCACATCTTCACAAAGATCATTGATAAATATCTGTACAAGAGGAAAGAGCAGGCTCTTGTCAGGGCAGAAAGGAGGAAATCTCTGGTTGAAGGAAGGTGTCAGGAGGCACGTGGGAACTCACCACACAAAACTTATGGAAACAGAATCCACGGTGCTCTTCCATTTCCCCAAGGATGCTCGAGTCCTGATCCACTCGGCCACAGAGCACGCATGCTGGAGAGGAGAGAGGAACAGCAGTGAGCGGCCTGCGCAGCCAGGTGCCCTGGGGGCTGTCCCAGGGGCTGCTGTGTGCCGGCCGTGCCCGTGGAGAGGAAGAGGCACTGCAGGCCCAGCGCTGCCAGCAGGCGGCCACAGCCCAACCGCGGCTCCCCTGGCCAAGGAGCAGAGGGGCCCTGCGTGCCCCCGCCTCCCGTGTCTGCCGCTGGCAGACCCCCAGCACCCCTCTGCCCTGCGTGCAGGGATTCTTTGCTCTCACCTGGCCCCCTCGAGCCGGCGGCCTCCTGCGTCTCCGCAGTTGACTGAAACCACTTGCAGAGTCTCTGTCCCATCAGTGCTGGGCTTCGTCCTCCGCGTGACAACCTAGGGGAGAAGCGGGACGAGGCTGAGTTCTCAGCTCAGGCCCCGAGCGCTGGGGAACCCTCCTCCCTGGGCAGCCTCAGGCAGCCCCTTCCTCTCTGCTCACCTCACCAGGTCGCACTGAGCTCGGCCTGAGCCCCGCAGCCTTGGCAACAGAGTTCCGCACCCCGCGTGTCACAATGGCCGTTCCGTGCTCCTTTGTTTGTGCGAATGCTTCATTTAAGTTTCCTAAACTGTGGTATGGGATCAAAACCTCTACTGTGTAGAATCCGACCTCTCCTGTTAATCTCTGCGGAGGGCTCGCCGCCTCGTGCGTGCTGAGCGAGCCGTCCTTTTTGGTGGCATGGATCGAGGCCGGGGGCCCGAGGCCTCCATGGACGGTCTCAGCCATCTGGGCAGCATCCAGCGCTCCTTCCCAGGGTTCAAATCCTCATGCTGAAAAGCCGCAGTGTCTGCTCTGCAGGTCAGATTTCTACTTTGGAATGTGCAGAGCCTCTGCTAAGGAGCAAAAGCTGCTTGTCACTGTGCGAACTGCCGTTGTAGGGGCTCCAGCCCACCTTGGAAGGACCCAGAGCCTTACTTCAGGGCACAAAACCTCCTTTATCGGTCCCATCCCATTCTTTCGAGGCACAAATGCAGCTTTTAGGGCCTAAGTAGATGGCTTGTTTTGACTTTGGCTCTCGAAGCCTGAAGTGGCTGTGGGAGTGCAGTGTGCAGACACGTGGTTTAACCCAGCAGGTAGCTGAGCACCAGGCAAGGTCTCCCCTGAGCCTTCTCCAGGCTAAGCAATCTCAGTTCCCTCAGCTGCTTCTCGTAAGGCCTGCGCTCCAGAGCCCTCACCTGCTTTGTTGCCCTTCTCTGGACACGCTGCAGGGTCTCCACGTCTTTCCTGTAGTGAGGGGCCCAAAACTGAACGCAGCACTCGAGGTGTGGCCTCACCGGAGCTTCACCCCGTTGGCCTCAGCCCAGCGATCAGCCTGTCCACATCCCTCTGAAGGGCCTTCCTACCCCCGAGCAGATCGCCACCTCCTGCCAACTTGGTGTCACCTGCAAACTTACTGAGAGTGCACTCAATCCCCTCATGGAATCAGAGTATCATAGCATCGCTCGGGCTGGAAAAGATCTGTAAGATCACCCAGTCCAACAGCAACCTGACCGTGCTACCCTAACTCTAACAACCCTCCACTACATCGTGTCCCCGAGCACCACATCCAAATGGTTTTTAAACACGTGGTGGTGATGGTGACTCAACCACCTTCCTGTGCAGCTCATTCCAGTGCTTAACCACCCTTTCTGCAAAGAAGTTTTCCTGATATTCAACCTAAACTTACCCCCTACAACCTCCTTTCAGGGAGTTATACGGCGTGGTGAGGCCTCCCCTGAGCCTCCTCTGGACTGCACAACCCCAGTTCGTTCTGCCGCTCCTCTTGGGACCTTTGTTCCAGACCCTTTCCTGCCCCGTTGCCCTTCCACGTGCACACTGCGGGACCTCCATGTTTTTCTTGTAGTCAGGGGCCCTGAACTCAACAATGTACTCTAGGCATGTCATCACTGATGCTGAGAGTACTTTATGCTTGCTTTACATTAGGTCTGAAAGGGAAGAATGCTGGAGTTGGGGTGACAATGTCTTAACTGAAGTGCATCCGCATCAGCGCACACAGCATCTGCTAGAAGCAGGATGAGCCGGAAGCCGTTGTGCAGCAGGCAAACTATGACTTAGTTGCCATCACTCCCACTTGTGTACTGCTACAGTGGAGGGCTATAAGTTCTTTGGAATGGATCGGCAACGAAGTAGGGATGGTGGCATGGCTCTCTATGTTAGTGTTTCAGTGTTGTTGAGCTTGGGGCTGGGAATGATCAGGCTGAGTCCCTGTGGGTAAAGATCAGGGGGAGGGCCGACACTGCCGCCTTCCTGGTGGGGGTCTCCTCCAGACCAGAAGAAACAGGTGAGGTGCTCTAGGTGAGCAGCTGGCAGAAATCGTGCAATCGCCAGCCCTTGTTCTCATGGCGGACTTCCACTTCCCTGATATATGCTGGAGATACAGTACAGTGCAGAAGCAGCAGTCCTGGAGGTTTCTAGAGTGTGTGGAAGATGTGTGCCTCCTGGCGCAGCTGGTAAGAGAGCCCACCAGGGAGGTGCCCCACTGGAGCTGCTGTTCACAAGCAGAGGAGGACCGGTGTGAGATGTGGAGGTCGGGAGCTGTCGAGGGCAGAGTGAGCACGAGATGGTAGAGTTCGGTATTCTTGGTGGAGTCAGGAGCGGGGGTCAGGCTCTCAATTGTTCAGGACGCCGGTCGGGAGGGTCCCTTGGGATTCAGCCCTGAAGAGCAAGGGGGTCCAGGAAGGCTGGCTGCTCCTCAAGAAGGAAGTCTTATGCAGCATCTGATTCACGGACTCAGATGTGAATGATCCAAATCATTTATTACAAGTTCCCACATCACTTGCATACCTTCACAAGTTTTCTTTTCTAGCTTGCCCGTCCACCCTACAATTTCCCATCCAGCTTTACATGCCAGCAGAGCATTCTACAAAGCACTCTTCAACCGTTCATGCAGGCGCTTATCCATTCAGAGCCGTGAGCCGTTCTTTCTTCTTCTAGAGGTGTCCTTCGTTCTCATGCTGTTTATCTTGCTCCACAGCTGCTGCTCTGAACAGATTTTCCTGTATTCCCACAGTCTCAGAGGCCTAGGAGCAGGCTGTTCCCCTGTGCTGTAAAATGAGCTGGAGAGAAGAGCAGGGAACTTTTGCTGAGGCTCTGGGAGAGAAGAAGAGTTTGCTTCCTGTAGAAGAAGGGACAGGCGACTCAGGGGGAGCACACAGAAGTGGTCAGGATCATGCAGGGAGAAACTTGGAAAGACAAAAGCCCAACATGAACTCAACGCGGCCACTGTAGGAAAAGAGAACAAAAAAGCCTTCTTACAAATACGTTAAGAATAAGAGGAGGGCTAAGGAGAATTTCATCCTTTACTGGATGGGGTGAGGAACTGACTGCTGAGGATAAGGAAAAGGTTGAGGTTCTCAGTGTCTTCTTTACACCTGTCTTTAAAAGTCAGAGCGGTTCTCCACCCCCCGACTTGGAAGTCTGGGACGGAGAGCAGAATAAGGCCCCACGATTGAGGTGGAAACACATGGAGGCCAACTTCTTCATCTAGATGGTCACAAGCCCATGGGGACAGGTGGGATCCACCCGAGGCCCCGCAAACCATTGGCACCCCCCCCCCCCTCTTTCTTTTCGGGCTGGTGGGCCTGCTGCTCCCCTGTCACGGACAGATCTAGAGATAATTCTGTGACCGCAGTAGAAACTTCTAATACCAGGGTATAGGCCTTTACTGAACTTATAACCTTCTTACAAAGCAGCTGCTGCAAGAAGGATGCTGAGCAGCAGATCAGAGCAGAGGCTAGGGCATGGACCGGGGTAAGAAATCAACACAGAGGGCTTGAGCAACACCAACCATGTTCAAACACAAGCAATGTGAGCTTTTGCAAAGGAATATGCGAGGGAAAAACTGCTAAGTAAGTGTAGATACAGAATTAAATTTATGCTTGCTAGTACAACATAATAGGGCTCATAAATCAGGAATTGGGGTTAGTAACCTTTAGGTATTTTATTGTAGGTTTACTCTTATATATGCCCTTTCTAAGTAGTAAAGGAAGGAAAAATACAGAGCAGAGTGAGGAAAGCTTGGCATAGGATGAAGCAGGCATAACAGCTTCAAGAAATATTGCTCTCCTGTGTGCATGGAGATGTACAAAATGATCCTGAAAACGTGAGGTTGGTGGTACCTCTCGTATGGAAAGACGAGTTATTAACTGTGTTGCATGGATTGTACGCCTGGAGTACTTGGCCAGTAGGAAACAGGAAAGTGAAAACCTGCGATGGGAGAAAGAGGTTTATAATGAGAAGTGTTCAACTGACCGTGCGCCCAATGTCTCCCTGCCATAACGGGGACGCCTGCCCACTGTTGCCATAATGAATAAAAACTTTGCTGCTTCACTGAGATCTTTGCCTGATCAGAAATCATTGGAGTCAATCGTCTCTCACATTCCCCAGGGGTCGGGATTGGGACCCATCGTGTTTAATATCTATACTGATGATCTAGCTGAGGTGCTTAAAGCCTTATTTGCCTCGTTGCTCCCTGGGCACAAAGCCCCTTGCCCTGGTAGATAGGGATGAGGAACAGAATAGGCCCTGCATAATCCATGATGAGATGGTTCTGGACCTGCTCTGAAAGCTGCGCACTCACAAGTCCATGGGGGGGTGGTCTGCACCATAGAGCACTGAGGGAGTTGGCAGATGTGGCTGCCATCATCCTTTGACATTCTCTGTGTACTGGAGACTGGCAAATGTGACACCCGTCTTCAAAAAGGGCCAGAAAGGTGATCCTGTAGCTACAGACCTATCAGTCTTGCATCAGTGCCAGGGAAGAACATGGAACGGACAATCTTGGGAGCCATCATGGATCAATTAAAGGTAAACTGGGGGATCAGGCCCAGTCAGCATGGGTTTATGTACCGTAGATCCTGTGTGACAAACCTGATTTCACTCTATGACAAGGTGACCCGCTGAGTGGGTGAAGGTGAGGCTGTTGATGTGGTCTGCCTGGACTTCAGTAAAGCCTTTGCCACTCCCCCACAGCATCCTCATGGAGAAGCTGGCTGCCCACGGTTTGGATGGGCGTACGCTCTGCTGGGTGAAACGCTGGCTAGGCAGCCAGGCCCAAAGAGTTGCGGTCAGTGGAGTTAAATCCAATTGGTGGCCTGTCATGAGTGGTGTCCCCCAGGGCTCAGTACTGGGGCCGCTTCTATTTAACACCTTTACTAACGATCTTGCGGAGGGGATTGAGTACACCCTCCATAAGTTTGCAGATGACACCAAGTTGGGAGGGAGCGTTGATCTGCCTGAGGTGCTACAGAGAGACCTGGATAGACTGGATCGATGGGCCAAAGTTAACTGTACGAGTTTCCGTAGGGTCAAGTCCTGCATTTTGCCCACAGCAACCCCAGCCAACCCTACAGGCTTGGGGAAGAATGGCTGGAGAGCCGCCTGACGGAAAGGGACCTTGGTGTCCAGATGGACGATGGGCTGAATATGAGCCAGCAGTGTGCCCAGGTGGCCAGGAAGGCCAATGGCAACCTGGCTGGGAGCAGGAATGCTGTGGTGAGCAGGACTGGGGAAGTCATCGTGCCCCTGGACTCAGCGCTGGTGAGGCCTCACCTCAAGTACTGTGTTCAGTTTTGGGCAGCTCAGTACAGGAAGGACATGGAGGTGCTGGAGCAGGTCCAAAGAAGGGCAGCAAGGCTGGGGAAGGGCTTGGAGAATATGGCCTGTGAGGGGAGACTGGAGGAACTGGGGCTGTTTAGTCAGGGGAAAAGGACTCGGGGGGGGGCCCTTATTGCTCTCTTCCAATGCCTGACAGGTGCTTACAGCGAGAGTGGGGCTGGTCTCTTCTCACTGGTGACAGGACAAGGGGAAATAATCTTAAGCTGCACCAGGGTAAGTTTAGGTTGGATATCAGGAAAACTTCTTTGCAGAAAGGGTGGTTAAGCACTGGAATGAGCTGCACAGGAAGGTGGTTGAGTCCATCCACAGCGGGATGAAGATGAGCCGCGACGACACCGTGGGAGCAGCCGT